ACAAGCTGTCTTTGCAGGAGCTGCCAGCCAGCCAGCGGGGGAGGAGGGCAGCAAGAGGGGACAGCAGAGCACGCCTGCCACATCTGGAGCACCTCCCCGCAAGCGGAGCTGCACGGTGTAGTTCTGAGACAGGCCGTGTCAGTGTGTGCACGGGACCTGCTGCGTCTGCCACAGCGGCAACACCTCCCAAGCTAGGCCACGTCAGTTTGTGCGCCGGACCTGCCAGGGGCGGCAAAAGGCACTAGGGGTGTCAGGCAGCGAGGCGTGTGGCAAGGCAGTGGCACAGCTGGGCAGCGAGAGACATGGCAAGGCGGCGGCAGAGCCAAGCAGCAAAGCTGGGGGGTGAGAGGTCTGCGCTGGGGCTTGGGTAGGGTTAGCATACGTCCATTTTTTCCTGGACATGTCCTTGTTTTCATGTTAAATCGTCATCCAGACAGGTTTTTTAAAAGGCAAAAAATGTCTGGGATTTTTTTGCACTGCAAAGGGGATCGGGGAGGGGGCAGCACTATATGCCTTCAATGGAACGTTTGGAGCCGTGCGCCTGGACCATTCACAGCTGTAAGGGCCCCAGCACTGGGATGGAAAAGCGCATGGCTCCAGTGAGACTCATGGCATTACCCCCCACCCCATTAGATTTATGTCCCCGGCTCTGTGGGAGGGATAGGGCATTGAGTTAGAGCAGGGAGACTGGGGGGTGTCTGGCTCGAGAGGAGAGGAGGGACATTGGGTTGAGCTGGAGGGTCCCTGGCTCTGGGGAAGGGTTTGGTGCATTGGGTTAGAGTAGGAGAGTCTGGGGGTACCTGGCTCGGGGGGAAGAGAGGGGCATTGGGTTGGAGCAGGAGGGCTGGAGGGTATCTGGTTCTGATGGAGGGCAGGGGCAGTGGGTTAGAGCAGAGAACTGGGCGTTAAAACTTCTGACTTCTTTCCTGTAGGTGGGCAGTGGGTCTGTTGGGTAGATTTGGGGGTTCCAGTCTCTGCTCTGTGAGGACAGTGGAAACTGGGGCTTGGTGGGGAAAGGAAGAGATTCTGGGAAGCAGGATTCCCGAGTTCCTTTTCTAGTCATGCCACTTCTCCAGTTGGTGCCTTTAACTTCGCATTGATTGTACTTTTTGTTCGATTTGTTAAAATTGTGAAGCCAAAACAAAAAAGTAGTCAAGATAATGGTCTTCTGTTGATATGCGTTTTAGTAATTAAACTGCTGAAATGTCATTGCTCATAAAGTGCTGTCATGGGTGGAAATCCGGTAAATACTGCATTTTATTAATATCAACAGAACTGACTTAAATGGGGCCTGCGTGTTGTGTAGTCTTGCCTTAATCTTTGTATTCATGCCGGTCAGTATGAAAGAAGCTATTTGCATATTTTTGCATAAATATTTACATATAAGTGCAACCACACTTAAGTTGCAGCCCTCGGCATATGCTCTGGGTATCATTGTAGCCTCCAAAGTTGAGTAGGCCAGGGTTAAAGCATGCAAACGTAGTTTACATGCACGCGCGCGCACACACACACACGAGTTGCAATCTAAATCTTAAGTGTGACAGCTTTAGTGATCAGTTAATTCAAAGTATCTTTCAGGGTGGACCTTGCCCAGTTTGAACTCTCAGGGCCAGAAATACCAAATAGTGATGGGATGGAAAAATTTCCTATGTCTTGGTTTTATTTCCTTCATTCAGCCTCTAGGTCCATAGCATAAGCCTCCTTGCCAGTAGAATTTGCAAGGTGTGCTATGGCCCTTCACTAGTCCTTTGTATTTCAATGTTCCTTGATAGGCTATTTGATTGTGATAGTTCTTCTGGGTGGGCAGGAAGAGATTCTCTTCCCACCTGTGTTCAAGTTCAGAACAAATATTTTTCCAAGTTAATAAAGCAAAATGTATCTTTATTGCATGAAATACAAATATTACATTCTAAGTATGTTAGTTGGTGCATGCATTAATTTTATTTGTAAGTCGGGGTATTCAATAGACTGACCACAAACTAAATCCACACCACAAGATGCTTTTGAATGGATCACAGAATGTTTGTTTATTACTATGCAGTGAAAAAGGTTTTGAAGTCTGGACCTTGGTCAGGAAATTTGGATCTTGACAAAAAGCAGACTAAATCTATTTTTTAAGACAAATACTGGTTGTGTGTGTGTGTGTGTGTGTGTGTGTGTGTGTGTGTGTGTGTGTGTGTGTGTGTGTGTGTGTCTGAGTGTGCAGAATGGTGTGGGAGCACGTGGGCGGACTCAAAAGTGTAATGATCTGGTCTCTCTGAGTTTGTTGGTTCTTAGCTAATGCCTGTAGACTTGCCAAGAGCTGGTGTAACTACCACCAGGACCTCTGGAGCTTAATATAGGAGCCACTACAGCTTGAGCTATAATGTCAGCTGTCTCTCAGCTTAGGCTGTAGATGTCCCTTGTTGTTATCTAGCACTGTAAGTGGTCTATGAGCCACCATATAGGACAGCGAACAACACTAGGTGTGTGGGTTACACTGGCACAAGAACTGTCAGTGTCACAGCCACCTTGCAATCTCCTTTTTGTCTTTACATGTTTTGATTTTTGTCACCCTCTGGTTTGCTACTGATGTCAAAACAGTAGGCTGAAGAAGTGGGCTGTGCCCACGAAAGCTCATGATCCCATCTACGTGTTTTGTTACTTTAAAGTGCTACCAGACTATTTGTTGTTTTTTAAGTTTGAAAATGTCTAAATCTTGTCTGCTCCAAAAAACTTTTCTATTAAAAGAGACTGCTGCTTTAGTCAAAGCACTCAGGCATGTCCTTTAAATTCCATTCAGGTCAGTGGGATTTAAGCATGTCTCTAAATGTTTTCTACATGGGTTTTAACAGTTATTTAGACTGGTTTGATCAAATAGAAGCATTTACCTTGATTCAGTCATTAATGTGGAACAAGGGGGGAGTGGCGTGTTCATTTCAACCAGTCTATAAGGACTGCTTAGTATGCAGCAAAGTAGCAGAAGTAGATTCTCACCCTATGTGCTAAGTATCAGTTTAGACCCTTGTGCATCTTGAGCTACCCCATTTTGAAACTGGATTAGATTAAACAACACTGGTGAATTTTCTGTGTGGCAGCAGGGTCCACGTAGATACTTAGTGTGCAGCAAACTAGCATGGAGTATATTTCCCCCTCCCTAGTTTGCAGCAAACTAAAGCTATGTCTAGACCATGTTCA